TCCAGGTACCATGCAAGAGTGTGGGCACATTACATAGTGAGATGTAGTTTTCAGTTGACATCAATGCTCTATGAGCTGGTCTTTCCTCACCATGTCTGGGACCCAAGCCCTGTGGAGGTCATTCAATATTTTGGTGTTCAAGACTCTCTAATTAGCAATGGGGTCCCTATTGTGTGGTCAGGATTGGGGTTCCCAGTGACTCACCTAGTCTGTGCTTAAACCACACTTCTGTTGTCCTCTATGGTTGTAACCTGTGGTGTGGGTTTCATTCTTTCTGTCCCACTGGCCTTCCCTCCCTCACACACCTGGGATGTTCTCGGAGCACAGAATAATGGCTGCCCATGAAACTCATCTTCAAGTTCTCAGTTTGGATTAGATCTTAGCTTCATTCTGTGAAGTCATCTCACGGGAGATGGTGCCCACTGATGACTATGGGGGCAGGGGACAACTTCTTCTATCTTTCTCTAAACAAAGTACATCATGGTATTGGTAGAGGATTAAGTCAAAAAGTATGGGAAGATTCAAATGATTTCTTCAAACTGTATTGAATGCAATACATTTGGGAGGCTGGGAGCAGTGCTTCTGTGCCTTAATTTGCTCCCTGATTCCACAAAAGGGAAGAAGTCTGCATTATTCAGGGATTTGTGAGTGTCCTTTGCTTATGTCCCTTTATCACTGGGCTGTTTCACTTCCTCCCCAATGTTCTCTCAATCCTTTATCTAGTCCATAATTTCTCACAGTGTTTGGCCTGAAAAATGAATGAGTGTTCTTACTTTCCATCTGAAGATCGTGTGCCCGGCAATTTGCGAAATAACAATCCTGTATTTTTAAATCAGTTCACATTCAACTTTTTTCTTAGAAAGATTTTCTTCCTATTGTTTATAACAGGTTTCTGCATGACCTGTCCAAATTCTACCAGATCACTTGGGAGAGCATCTCAGTGCTCACACAGATTCTCTCTGATCCCTGAGTTTCCCTCTAAAACAAGGAAAACAACTGCATTTTCCCTCATCCTTGTTGATAACATTTATTTATGTTTTTGAATGTGTGTACAGTTAATATGATTCCCAAAGTCAGAAATACGCAAAAGCAAAAATGTGATGTAATGTATGGTGATTAACATAACATAATAAAAAAAAGGGGGGGGGAGAAAAAGAAAAAAAATGTTATGCTCAGAGCTATGTCACATCCCTGTCCCTTCTATTTCATTGCCATACCACCCTGTAGGCAACGATCTCACTCTGGTTTATCCTCACAGAATTTTTCTTTGTTGTTTGTTTTGTTTCATTTTCATCCCCTTCGTCCTTATAAGGAATGTAAGATAGTACAGAGAATTGTTTGCACTTTGCTTTTCTCATTTCACAATAAATCCTGGAAGTCACTCCATATCAGTTCATAGAAATTCTCCTTTTCACAGATGAGACGTACTCCATTGTGTGGATGGACCATCGGTTTTTCAACCATACTTTCATATAAGGGAGTTTAGTTTGTTGACAGTATTTTGCAAACAATTACAAACAGTGCTGCAGTGAATAACCTTGTAGGTGTATCTCCAGGAATTCCTAGAAATGAAATTATAGGTCAAATGGTTAACACACATGTAATTTTGTCATATTCTTTTCTGAATATATAGTATAAGTTTCCAATGGCAGGAGCTATAAATGAGAGTGTTTGTTTCCCCACAACTTTGTCTAAATACGTGCTTCTTATGTTCTTAATTTTCTCAAATCTGATAGATTTTAGATACCATCTCAAAGTAGTTATGATTTGCATTTTCCAAATAATTAGTGAGATGGAACATTCTGTATATCCTTAAAAGCTGTTTGTATGTCTTTTCTTGGAATCATTTGTTCTTTTTTTCATGTTCCTACATAGATTTTGATGCTTTGCCCTAATCATTTTTGAAAGTTCTTATGGTTTAGAATATTGATGCTTTATTTATAAATAATACATTAAAAATAGTTTACTGTAGTCTTCAATTGTCTTTTGATTTGGTTTAATGTGTAATATTTTGCCAGGCAATTTTATGTATCTTTATGTCATCTTTTCCATCCCAGTTTATGTGCTATTGATTTGGTGTATGGTCGCAGTACTGGTTCTTTTATTCCTAAATACGTTTTTGAATTTTGTATTATTTTCTTACACTGTGAGTATCCTAGACAGTTACGACATGTATCTTTGGCTTGTCCTGTCTTTATATGACTTAGTACCTGACCACATTCCAGAAAATGCATGCATCTTAAAAATTCTAACCTAAATTATAACCTTGTGCCTTCTGAGCATTTGTGTCCATGTTTTAATTGGACATATATTTTAATTCTGCATCCGTGTAAATACCACAAGATATTATTATTTTAGACAGTCAAAATTTATGTAGACTTTCCCACATATTTATCTTTTGTACTGTTCTTCACTCCTTTTTAAGTCTCTGAACTTATGTATGGACTTACTTTTCTTCTCCCTGCAAAAGTCCTTGTAGGATTTCTATTCATATTGGTCTTCTGATGATTCAATTTCTATGTGTTTGTTTTTGTAAAATGTATTTATTTTGTCTTCTTTTTTTTTTTTAAAGATTTTATTTATTTATTTGAGAGAGAGAGAATGAGAGAGAACACATGAGAGGGGATAGGGTCAGAGGTCAAAGCAGACTCCCTGCCGAGCAGGGAGCCCGATGCGGGACTCGATCCAGGGACTCCAGGATCATGACCTGAGCCGAAGGCAGTCGCTTAACCAACTGAGCCACCCAGGCGCCCCTATTTTGTCTTCTGTTATAAAGGATATTCCTGTATAGAATCCTAAATTGGCAGATACTTTCTTCCTATACCTTCAAAATATATTTTATTTTATTGTCTCCTGGCATCCAATGTTAAGAGTTATGTGATTTTTCTCAATGTTGCTCTTTTAAAGACAATTTACCTTATTTTATAAGAATTACCTTTATCCTCTCTGTTTTTCTCCTCTTCCCCCATTTTGTGTGTGTTTTCTCAGCACTGGTGGTAAGATGAGCCTCGGCATAATTTTGGAGGGACATTTATCTTATTGAGGGTTCACAGAATTCCTTCAATCTGTGATCAATTTTGGAATTTCCTCAGTCACTACCTCTTTGAATCTTGTCTCCGCCTGTACTCTCCTCTCTGCTTTGTGAACTTCAGTTATAAATACATCGGACTTTTTTTTTCGTGGTGTATCCCTCTTGCCTTTTATGACCTTTTATATGTTTTCCATTGATTTGATATTCCAACCTTACAATGTATCTTCCTGTTTACTATTTCTCTTTTCAGCTCTGATAAATCTACTGTTAAATTCATCTGTTGAGTTCTTGATTTCGATTATTATTTTTGACTTTCTGTTTGGTTACTTTTAATCATTTCAGGCTGTCGGAATTCTCAATCTTTCAGCGAATGCATTAAGCCTCTAACATCCTATTACCCAATAGCTGCAACTTTGGGGGGGGCGCGGTCTGTTTCTGTTGCGTGTTTATTTTCCTCCTGGAGTTATTGATGGAAAACCAGACTGTGTTCTGTATACTTACTATGTATGTAGATTTATACACATATTTGTTGAGAAACATTTTAGTGGCGATTTTAGGTTCTAGGATGATTTTTATCATGCAGAAAGAAATGACATGTGATTCTGGCAGCCTGAAGTGCTATTGGATGCTATGTGACCTCCATCCAGTCAAGGATTGCACTGTCCCTGAGTCTGGGGTTAGCGTGGATGATGCACTATGGCTTTTCCCAGTTCTTCCAGCCCCCCGGGGGTAGCCCTGCTGGGATTCCAACTGAAGTCTTTGGAGTTTGTCAGAGTCTTTCCTTCTCTTTCATCCTTGATTAATTTTCATCTCTGACTGAGTGAGATTGCTGGAAGCTTTGCTCAACACTGAGACCTCTCAGCCTTTCCTTTATCCCAGACTCTGCTTCTAAGCATCTGTTCCTATTTCCGACTCGGCTCATGAGTCAAGGAAGAGCGAAGAAAGAAGAGTGGGGCTCACATCTATGGGCTTTCCTTCTTGTTTCCTTCAATATTTATGTTTTATGGTTTTTTCCATGGAGGTGAGATGGACCCCTTTTCCAGTTAAGAGGCATTAATTTGAGGCTGACGGACTCCACATACCAAGACAAATTGAGAGGGTGCTTATATTCATACAAGGGACTCCTGGAGAGAGCAGGCTGTGCACCAGCAGCTCCAGGCTCCCTTCCACGAGACAGAATGTTGAGTGTTTATCATGGCTAGGGACTGGGATGGGGGAAAGCTCCCTTGCTTGGGCCGGAGATTTATGAGGCATGAATTTTCCAGCAAATACACAGATTTGGACTGAAGGGAAGATAAAATTGACATGTTCCCAATACTGAGACTTTCAATCCTTGGACATAATATGGCTTTCCATTTACCCAGGTTTTATTTTCTTTGAATAATATTCTGTTAATAATTATTATTAATAATTTTGTTATTTTTCCTAAATACTGGATTTTTTGAGGCACTTGTAAACAATGGGTTTTCTAATTTTAATTTTTAAGCATTTATTTCCTTTATATATAAACCACACTGACCTTTGCATGTTGACTTTGAATCCAGTGATGACTTATTTCTCCTGTTGTTTCTAGCAGTTTCTTTATAAATTATTTTGAATTTTGTCTGCGTAGAATCCTTTCATCTGTGAATTACGATAGTTTTCATTCTTCCCTTCCAATCTTTCTTTGTTGTCCATGTGGTTGTCTTATTACACCGGTCAGGACCTTTAGAGGTGTCCATTTATATGAATCTGATCTGAAGGCATTGGTGGTGAAATTGTTCATGAACTGGTGGTGCAGCTAAGTTTGAGGAAAAATCCAGTAATCAGAGTCCAAGTCTTGTCATGGAGTTAGTTTTCAGAACCTCAGTATTTCCAAACAGAACAGAGATGCTGAGACAGGAACCGCCACAGCAGCTGCTTATAAAGGAAACACCTGGTAAAATGAAGTAATCATCGAAGCCTTACAGAAGTTTTGTCTCATGTTGAATCACTGTGCGTACCTGTCACTATACCGCTGACAGTAATAAACTGCAACATCTTCATGCTCCAGGCTGCTGATGGAGAGGGTGAAGTCTGTCGCAGACTCACTGCCACTGAACCGGTCTGGGATGCCAACAACCCTGTTGGATGCACCATACAAGAGGACTCTGGGAACCTGCCCAGGTTTTTGTTGGTACCAGGCTAAGGAGCTGCCAACACTCTGACTGGCTCTGCAGCTGAGAGAGGCTTTTTCTCCTGGAGACAAAGACAGAGGCTGGAGACTGTGTCATCTTGATTTCTCCAGTGGTATCTGAGATTGGAAATAAAACAGAAAAGTCAGCCACGTAATCGACATCTTAACCACTGTCTTCAGGTTTGTTCATCTATTTTAAGCTTTAATTATTTTGCTTGCTAAGCAAAGGTGCCAAGTGATAAGACCAAATAGTACAAAGATTTCACCAACATGCAGAATCATCCCATGTTCCTCTCACCTGGGAGCCAGAGTAACAGGAGGCAGAGAAGCTGAGCTGGGACTACCATGGTTCACTCTGTGCCCTCACTGAGGCAGATCTCCCCCAGAGCACTGACCCAGGTATTGATATGGGCTCTGGACAGCAGGGTGGGCTGGGAGGAACATGCAACACAGTTGGGGAGGAGCATCTGGGCTTCCAGCGACAGAGACCATTCGCCTCCTCTTCTCAGCACTTCAGTAACCGATCCCCAGGTGGTCATGGCAGAAGATGCCTGGAGCTCAGCCTGAGGGAAGAGTTTCTGTCCTGTGCTCACAACATTTGCTTCCTATGTCCTCCCACCCCATTATTCACCTAGATTCAGCGAGATGGTGTTTGGCACAAGAATGTTGGAAGCAAAAGAGAGCTGGTGGTCCTATTACTTTCTTTCCATTCCCAATGTGCATGGACATCTTCCTTAGTGCATCATTGGATTAGGTTGGATTGAGGAGGTGATCAGAAATTTATTTTCCAGGCGCACCTGGGTGGCTCAGTTGGTTAAGCATCTGCCTTCGGCTCAGGTCATGATCCCAGGGTCCTGGGATAGAGCCCTACACTGGGTTCCATGCTCAGTAGGGAGTCTGCTTCTTCCTCTCCCTCTGCCTCTCCCTGCTGCTGTGTTCTCTCTCTCTCTCTCTCTAAGATAAACAAATGATATCTTTAAAAAAAAAGGAATTCATCTTTGTTTAAAAAAAGATTTTATTTATTTATTTGACAGAGAGAAATATAGCAAGAGAGGGACCACAAGCAGGGAGAGTAGGAGAGGGAGAAGCAAAGCTTCCTGCTCAGCGGGGAGCCTGATGCGGACCCTGGGATCATGACCTGAGCCGAAGGCAGACGCTTAACGATTGAGCCACCCAGACGCCCAAAAAGGAATTTACCTTGAAGACAGATCTTTTCTTTGTTGCTTAAGTGATCTCAGTAGTAGCTGAAAAATCATTTCAAAAAACTCAAAAAGCTGTTTATGATAAAATTCTCAGCAAGCCACAAATAATGGAAAAACACCTTATTCTCATAAAGTGTCTATCACTATCCTACAGCAAACATCATACTGGGTGGTAAATTATTGAATATTTTACTCCTTACATTGTGAAAAAGACTGAAATGTCCACTATCACCACTTCTATCCAAAATTATGCTACAGGTCCTAGACAGTGCAATAAGGGGGGCGGGGGGAACACAGGAAGAAAAAAGAGAAATTTACAAAATAAAGAAAGGAAGAAGCAAAATATCTTTATTTGTTGATAACAAAATGTGTACATAAATTCTTAGAGAATCTGCAGATAAACCCCTAGAAATAACTTAACAAGGTGTCTGCATACAATGTCAATACATAAACATCTATTATGGATTAAGGGAGATTGAATTAAATAGAGTTTTTCCATGCTCAAAGAGTGGAAAACTTGATATTTTGAAGATTTCAATTTTCCCAAATTTGACATATAGACTCAATGCAATCCAATTAAAATCTCTTAGAAAGTGAAAAAGCCAATCCCAGAATTTACATGGAAATTCAAAGGACCCAGAATGGTCAAGAAGATCTTAAAGGAGAAAAATAAAGTCCAAAGACTTACAATACCCAGATTTCCAGACTTCTTATAAAGCTACAGTGATTAAGACAGTTACTGTAGATACAAAGGTAGACAAATAGAGAAATGGAGGGGAACAAGGAGTCCAGAGAAAGACTCACATATACATAATCACTTGATTTCTTTTTTTTTTTAAAGATTTTATTTATTTATTTTGACAGAGAGAGACACAGCGAGAGAGGGAACACAAGCAGGCGGAGTGGGAGAGGGAGAGGGAGAAGCAGGCTTCCCGCGGAGCAGGGAGCCCGATGCGGGGCTCTATCCCAGGACCCCGGGATCATGACCTGAGCCGAAGGCAGACGCTTAACGACTGAGCCACCCAGGCGCCCCCATAATCACTTGATTTCTAGCAAAGGCATTGGAGTGGGGTATAGTTTGCTTTTTGTGTTTTGTTTATTGTTGTTATTTGCAATGAATGGTAAGGAGCTATTGGATATTGAAATAAGAATAAACTGAGAAATCGAAAAAAGTCTCGACCCATCTAACACCAGGCAAAATTATGAATTTTAGGTAGAGCACTATCTACGTGTGAGAGGTAAAATAATGATGCCTCTAGATGAATGCATAGAAGAATATTTTTAGGCTCTAAAGAGAGGCAGAAACTTATTGAATGAGACACACATAAACATTTAAAACAAACACATGAGGAAAAAAGATGAATCAGACTACTCTATAATTAAGAATTCCTTTTTTCAAGGAAACAGAACAAATAATCCTAAAATTTGTATGGAATCAGAAAAGACTCCGAATAGCCAGAGGAATGTTGAAAAAGAAAAGCAAAGCTGGTGGCATCCCAATTCCGGACTTCAAGCTCTATTACAAAGCTGTAATCATCAAGACAGTATGGTAATGGCATAAAAACAGACACATAGATCAATGGAACAGAATAGAAAACCCAGAAAGGGACCCTCAACTCTATGGTCAACTAATCTTCTTGACAAAGCAGGAAAGAATGTCTAATGGAAACAAGACAGTCTCTTCAACAAATGGTGTTGGGAAAATTGGATAGCCACATGCAGAAGAATGAAACTGGACCATTTCCTTACACCACACACAAAAATAGACTCCAACTGGTTGAGAGACCTCAATGTGAGACAGGAGTCCATCAAAATCCTTGAGGAGAACACAGGCAGCAACCTCTTTGACCTCAGCTGCAGCAACTTCTTCCTAGAAACATCTCCAAAGGCAAGGGAAGCAAGGGCAAAACTGAACTATGGGGACTTCATCAAGATAAAAAGCTTTTGCACAGCAAAGGAAACAGTCAACAAAACCAAAAGACAACCGACAGAATGGGAGAAGATATTTGCAAATGACATATCAGATAAAGGGCTAGTATCCAAAATCTATAAAGAACTCATCAAACTCAACACCCAAAGAACAAAGAATCCAATCAAGAAATGGGCAGAAGACATGAACAGACATTTTTCCAAAGAAGACATCCAAATGGCCAACAGACACATGAAAAAGTGCTCAACATTGCTCAGCATCAAGGAAATCCAAATCAAAACCTCAATGAGATACCACCTCACACTTGTCGGAATAGCTAAAATTAACAAGTCAAGAAACGACCGATGTTGGTGAGGATGCGGAGAAAGGGGAACCCTCCTACACTGTTGGTGGGAATGCAAGCTGGTGCAGCCCCTCTGGAAAACAGTATGAAGGTTCCTCAAAAAGCTGAAAATAGAGCTACCCTATGACCCAGCAATTGCACTACTGGGTATTTACCCCAAAGATACAAATAAAGTGATCGAAGGGGCACGTGCACCCCAATGTTTAAAGCAGCAATGTCCACAATAGTCAAACTATGGAAAGAGCTTAGATGTCCATCAGCAGATGAGTGGATAAAGAAGATGTGGTATATATACCATGGAATATAATGCAGCCATCAAAAAAATGAAATCTTGCCATTTGCAACAACATGGATGTAACTAGAGGGTATTATGTTAAACGAAATAAGTCAATCAGAGAAAGACAATTATCACATGATCTCACTGATATGAGGAATTTGAGAAACAAGATAGAGGATCATAGGGGAAGGGAGGGAAAAATGAAACAAGACAAAACCAGAGAAGGAGATAAACCATAAGAGACTCTTAATCTCAGGAAACAAACTGAGCGTTGCTGGAATGGAGGGGGGTGGGAGGGATGGGGTGGCTGGGTGATGGACATTGGGAAGGGTATGTACTATGGTGAGCACTGTGAATTGTGTAAGACTGATGAATCACAGACCTGTACCCCTGAAACAAATAATACATTGTATGTTAATAAAAAAAAGAATTCCAAATCATATATATATGATTCATATTATATATATGTGGACATGTATATATAAACATAGGAAAGGTTACTCCACAGCATTTGTCAATAGGGAAATATAAATTTGAAACATGACACCACTTCAGACGGTGAAAGCACTGGAATATTGCACGTTGTGCTCATCATATTCACAGCTCACTCTCAAGATGTACAGACCTGCTGACTCCCCTAGGGAAGTCCTGTTCCCTTTACTCGGTATGTCTTTCATGATGAAGTGCTGTTTGGGCCAAATGCTAGGTGGGACTGGGATGTAGAGGAAGGCCTAGGGTAACAGGTAGAAGTGTTCAGTCCTCAGGGAGTGGCTGGGGCACAGGGAACTGGTGGATCAATAGATTTAGTCAGGTCCCATCTGTTTATCATGGTGAAGAGAGACACAGTGTACCACACATGGTCCATGGGATATAGTATCTGGGAGCAGGTAATCGCCACAAATATAGTTTGCTTCCTTAAGCAGACACAGCATTGTTTTCTTTTGCGAATTCAAACTTTCATTTACTTCTCCCGTAACCCCATAACTAATATGCCCTTTCATTTAATCAAAATGTTATTAGAGCACCCGTTGTCAATGGGGCATCTGTAAGGCATATATATCTAGGCAATGTGCCTGGAATTTGGGAATACATTAGTTGTCAATTGTCATTTTGATGATGGCAGGACCACCAACATTTCTTCAGTGATTTCTTTTCCCTTCCTTGAAGCACTTTCATGATCATGCCACACGCATTAATAGATTGATCTAGACCACCGGGTTTTGCAATATACTACCAATGTCTTGTCCATATAATATACTTTATTTGAAAATAAAAGGCATTTCCACTTTCCGTTAGGATGCAGTAGATCTTACAGGACCTACACTACCATTGCAACAAATGCAGAGGAGAACAAAAAAATAAAGGTAAAACTCATGTTAATGATGACAAGAGAGAGCCATACAAGGAATGAAGACCAGATGACCTACATTTCCAGAGACAGAAAGTTCTTTGTAGGTGATGGAATGTTCTCCTGTCATTTTATACCCTAGTGAAAATTGCAAAATTTGAATGTGGGCAGATATTCTGGCTTGGCCTAGGCAGGTGGGCTCTGCTGGGGAAGAGAATGCAGCTGAGCTTTGGCAGTTGCAGGGAGC